CGATGCGAACTGTAATGTGCATAGAATCATGGGAAATATGCCATCAAACATTACTAGATGCTGACTGTAATGGTGCATGGAATCATGGAAAATATGCCATCAAACATTCCTAGATGCCGACTGTAATGGTGCATAGAATCATGGGAAATATGCCATCAAACATTTCTAGATGCCACATGTAATGGTGCATGGAATCATAGGAAATATGCCATCAAACATTACTAGATGCTGACTGTAATGGTGCATGGAATCATGGGAAATGCCATCAAACATTCCTAGAAGCCGACGGTAATGGTACATGGAATCATGGGAAATATGCCATCAAACATTCCTAGATGCCGACTGTAATGGTTCACGGGATCATGGGAAATATGCCATGGAGCTTTCTTAGATGCTGACTGTAAGGATGCATGGGATACAATAAAATCATAAGATTAGCTTGCTTGTGGTCTGCTCTACATGTCAATTTTATTTTACAGAATGAAATAATCTTTCCAGCTGGCTGAAAATTTAAATTTTTTGTATGAAACTGATAAAACCTGTCTTGAGAAATTATCAACTATGACATTTGCATTGTGCATTTCTGTTCAACAAGGTTTCTTTAACAGGTTACACCATGAATTTACGCTATTTTATGACAGTATAATTCGATAATTGACATTGAATCGTGTTCGATACAGTAAAATTATGCTACTAATGAAATTTACAATGCAAAGCTGCATAATGTCTAAGGTCAAACAGTAACATATGTGTCATGGCACCGTGGAAATCCACCCACGCTAGAAAACATACTTTTTCAATCAATTTATCATGCATACCATAATAGCTAAAATGTCAAAATATAAAAGTCAAAAACACTAATATTTCATTCTGTTTATTTAAGTGCATGTTTGTCACGTACACACCTCCATTAACTGATAGTGCCATATGCTGTCCTATGAAGAAACATTGTGTGGCCTTGTACAGCTTAGAAACCACATTAAATTCAGCTCAGGAAGAGAATATGTATTATTCAAATAGGTAACCAAGCATGGTGATAAGATGTGATTTAAGCGAAAATGTATGTGTATGTGCATATCCAAGTCATCAGTTACTGTTGTACCGAGTATAAGCGGTCCAACTGAAAAAATATAGGCAGAAATTGTTTAGAATAAATAATGGCAATTTAAAAAAAAAAAAAAAATTGTCTTTTCTGTGCACAGCTTCAAACATGTACTGTATACATTTGTATATATATTTAAAAAGTTGACACAACAATGTTTGTCAAGTTATTCCAGGTTTTGTCTGGTAACTGAACTAGTTTTTGAACCACAGTTGTATGTATTTTGCTAAATTTACAATTTTCAGTTTCCATGGAAAGAAGTTCATGTGAACCCCCCCTCTTTCAATTTGCTTTTATTTGATGGACTATTTTTTTCAGCAAGAAATCAAGAATTTGCAATTCTTTTCCGGTGATTTTTCGATAACTACAAGATTGTGTAATGCACAAAAGGCATGGACTAGATGTTTGCCAAAAACCAAACAAGAGGATTTTGAAATTCTTTTGTATAGCCCAAATTCAGAATGCTAATCTTTGAAAGTGGAATACCCTTACTCCATTAAAATTGACCATCATATATTATTGGGCCTGAAAATACCAAAAATATGTTTGCGTTTTATGTTCGATTTCATACTTAACGCTTAATCTTGGAGTGAATGGAAAATTGTCTGAGTTTTTTTACAAGTTGACCCCATCAATCCTTCAAGTACATGTATGTGCCAAAATCCTGTGCAATACAATAACACAAGGTTAGTGTGAACTATACATTGTACAACATTAATATTTTAGGAATAGCCCAGCTATGAACTTCCTTATTGCCATTTTCAACTGTCATATTATTATTAACATTATTATTATTTTCCCCACAAAATGCAACATTTTTAGGTATTTTCTATAATTTTGAATTTCACATTGATTCATGCAGGATTTGAACAACACTGTTTTCTAATTTATGCAAAAATTTAAACAGACTTAATTTGTGAAAGATGACAAAAGTTTACTTTATTACTCAATGGGTTAGATGAAAAAACAGTCCCAGAATTTTGTTCTCTCATACCATCTCTCATCAAAATAGATTTCTTCTTTTTATTCATCATTAACCATATAAGCTATTGTTATCCTCGCTCTCAATGTGTGCATAATTTGAAATACCTGTGTGTAATATTGAGAAATTAAATAAAGTTTGTAGCTGGGTGATTCAGTAAACATTTCAAAGATCACATCTGTTCCCACGTGCTAGTTTAACTGTAGATAATGTCATCGGAAGCTTTCTTTGGTCACAGTCACAAATCCAGCTTTTTCTTCATTTGGCATGCACTCCCATTCTATATGGTGTAATTCTTCTCCCCATCTTGCATGTCGTTTGTCAGTTGTCTTGTATATCTTAGTCTGGATGCATCCATTAAATACGCCTTTGTCTTCAATCTATAAAGACAGTGTTTAATTAATAGCTGATAGATAAATGTATGAAATTAAACCCCAGTGAATATGCAAATCTAATAAAACAATGCATAATTCATTTTGTTCACAAACCAGTGAATTTAAAACCTAGTGAATATCTCTGCAACATCAAATCCACTAGTGAAATATCTCTACAACATCAAATCTACTACAGTGAATATCTCTGCAACATCAAATCTTCTAGTGAATATCTCTACAACATCAAATCTACTAGTGAATATCTCTGCAACATCAAATCTACTACAGTGAATATCTCTGCAACATCAAATCTACTATAGTGAATATCTCTGCAACATCAAATCTAATAGTGAATATCTCTGCAACATCAAATCTACTACAGTGAATATCTCTGCAACATCAAATCTACTATAGTGAATATCTCTGCAACATCAAATCTACTAGTGAATATCTCTGCAACATCAAATCTACAGTGAATATCTCTGCAACATCAAATCTACTACATACAGTGAATATCTCTGCAACATCAAATCTACTACATACAGTGAATATCTCTGCAACATCAAATCTACTAGTGAATATCTCTGCAACATCAAATCTACTAGTGAGTATCTCTGCAACATCAAATCTACTAGTGAATATCTCTGCAACATCAAATCTACTAGTGAATATCTCTGCAACATCAAATCTACTATAGTGAATATCTCTCCCCACAATAGGTTATAATTTTTTTTTATTAATAGACTCTTCTTTTTGTTTTATTTCAAACTAAAAATAATAGAAATTATCAGCCAACAAAAATGTTTATTTTCCCTGACACACAAAGTTAACACAAATTTGTTGTTTGTCAGTGAAATTTAAGCAGTTTACAAAATTTTATAAACTGGTGAATTCCAGGGACCTACAAAATATAACGTATATATAACACCCCCCTATTGTCTCTATTTGTGTGCACATTTTGTTAGGTCTTCCAAATATATTCATGTTTCTTTTTGCATTGTGCTTCAGAATTAACTGAATTTAGCTTTCATGATATCAAAAATTTAATGACAATTTCAGAATAAAAAGCTGCCCATGCACATCACAGATTTTAGAAAACATTTTTAGTGGCTTTATTATAATTACAAATTTATTAAAGGATCTTATGCTCATGTACATATTCCAGGGTCAAAGGTCAGTCATATGCTTGCAAGAAGTACATGTATTATGTGTTTTTCCTGCTCCCAGAGCACTTTTATGGATGATATTTTATGATCTGCTCTTTAATACTTTCAGCAATTTAACTGAGTCAACTACTCTAAATTTTAATACATTCAAGTCTCCAAAAGATCTAACTTGCCTTCAATTAATTGTTGCTCTGACAAAAAATAAAATTAATTTAAACACATCCAACCTTTTCACAAATCATTGAAATAGTGCCCTCTGTTGTGTAAATCTACAAACAGACCAGACAGTAACAATATGTCAGTGTTAATTGGATAAATCATCAATATAGGTCAACATCTCTGTCATAGGATTTCTCTAGGTTTTATTTCTGATCATTCTTTATGAGACACAAATGAAAATCAAAAACAAAATTTGAAAGAACTCCTGTGTGCTGAAAGTGGTGATGGAAAAGACTAGTGTCATGCATACATGTAGCTAGTATATTTCATGAGACGATCCTTCTGAAACTAGTTGGAGTCCAAGTAAGTTTGGACCCTATTATTTTTGTTTGAATATTTCTTCTATTACCTCTTTTTTTTGTAGCCCTAAAATTTGAACAGCGAAAACTTCTGAAACTTTTCACATTGGGAACTATGAGAACTAGTTCATGTAACTTTCAGAACTTTGATTGGTCAATTGGATTGGCAAGCATCATATTTTGTAGCAGCATTATTGATATATGGGCTATTTCATGAATAAAAACCTCATCGGTCACATGTCTTTTCCCCGCCATGTCCCGCCCAAAAAACACGTGAAAATCACATTAACCTGAAATTGTTTTTTTATCATCTATGTATAATGCTCTTTAAAGTTTGCAAGGCTCTTCGTAATTTGGCTGCCATCTTGGGTTTCTTCTAAACTATTATTATTCTAGTTTTTTAAAGATGCTATATTTATCCAATTATTTTGAAATTTGTCTTGTTGCATCTTTATACTGCACTCCTTCAGACAGTAACAAATTACCGGTAGGATCAGTCACATGATTTTATCGCCATCTTGAATTTTTGGTAAAAAATTGTCGTACAGTATTTGTTTCTCAGGAGTGCTTTCAAACATGGAACTGACAAATAGTTTTTTTCAGAAATAATTTCTAATAATTGCAAATTAAATTTATACGCTCAAATTTAAACCCAAAATAACCAATTTATTTATACTATTAGATGCTATTGGAACTGAATCAGTGGTTCTAGTAATAGAAATCAATGGAACAGATTGGCTGTGAACAGACAAAATTTACTAAAAGACTCACTGTTCTGCTTTGCACACACAATTTTATAAAATCAGTGATATAAGCATATGTCATTTATATGTGATACACACTTTTATTTTCCTATTAAGCCAAGGATACTGTAATTTCTAATTAAATTCCTGTACAGTCTGTTAACATACATATTACTTTTTAATATCTACTGTAATCCAATTTTAATGACCACAACAATTTCATTATATCTAAATAGAAACTGAACTCTACTACAAATACCCCTGTTTTGTTAGTAATAAAGAATTCCAAACATGTGATATGCTATATTGGGTATGTATCAGATGGATACTCCAGACAATTCCATAAGCTGAACTGCCACTGCTACAAATCTGTCACCATGCATTCAGTCAACGATTTAACCTCCAAGTCTTGCCGGAATTAAAACAAACACAGCTTACAAATTATATGTACTGTAATTTTTCTATTAGTTGGACCTCTCTGTTAAACCACCAAATTTTAGTTAAAACATGAAAATTTAATGTTTAATTTTTATGGACAACAAATATAGTTACATCTTTCTATGATTTTTGGATTTTTCACCTCATTTTTAATTCTATAGTCATAACACTCACCAAAATCAACTCTATTAATTTAACCACATTTAAGAATTAATTGTTTATTATCTGTATAATGGATTACAGTACACAGGGGTTAAAAAGTGTCTGTCCACTGGACAAGTTGTATAATGTCTAATCTGTAAACATATTGAATTTCTACAATCTTCCTGTCTGGGACAGGTGGACAGGACTGAATTTTGACCTCTGGTACATCTGATTTGACTAGCCTGCTATAGGACAGTTCATCAGGGAGCTATTTGACCTCTGGTACATCTGATTTGACTAGCCTGCTATAGGACAGTTCATCAGGGAGCTATTTGACCTCTGGTACATCTGATTTGACTAGCCTGCTATAGGACAGTTCATCAGGGAGCTATTTGACCTCTGGTACATCTGATTTGACTAGCCTGCTATAGGACAGTACATCAGGGAGCTATTTGACCTCTGGTACATCTGATTTGACTAGCCTGCTATAGGACAGTTCATCAGGGAGCTATTTGACCTCTGGTACATCTGATTTGACTAGCCTGCTATAGGACAGTTCATCAGGGAGCTATTTGACCTCTGGTACATCTGATTTGACTAGCCTGCTATAGGACAGTTCATCAGGGAGCTATTTGACCTCTGGTACATCTGATTTGACTAGCCTGTTAGGGAGCTACATGTAGCTCAGAAAAATTAAAATTTAGTAACATAGTGAAATAACTGAAACCTTGCCCTTGAATAATTTACAATATCATCTGAAGTATGGCAGTAGTAATAAAAATAATATCACATTGTTACATGTGTTGGCAGGGCATCATTGCTTGTACATGTAGTTTTATTTGGATGGTGATTTTAAACAATAGTGTGTGGAACTGAAACTGTGATTAGTATTCAACAAACGATTTCATTAAGCATACGTCAGTACTGTAGGTAACATGTGGGTATTGACGGAATAAAAGATGATGCACTGCCTATTACTCTGTGATAACGGGACAAGGATGGGGATGTACGCAATAATGGGCAGGATGTAGTCAAGCCATTATTTAAGCAAAGATCCCCATCCAGGCCCTGTTATCACGTAGTAATAAGCAGTGCAGAGAACTTTATTTCAATTATATTAATTACCAAGGAATTGTATCAATCTGATTAAAATCTGATGTAGTGTACAGGCTTTGATTATTTTGGCTATAAACTTATTTTATTTTATTTTTATTTACTTTTGTTTTATTTTACTTTGATTTTTATTTTGTGATTTTTTTTTAATTCCGTCCTACATACATCTGACGTGATGCCTATGTAACAAGATTTCAACGAGACCCACTATTGACGATTTTAGGCAACGAATCACAGACCTCCTTCTATAGCGCACACGGTGACGTCACCGGTCAGAGTCAGGTGGCAAACACACTCAAATAAAATGGTGGATTATACCGACGTTAGCGACCGATAAAAACACGGCTTTTCGGTAAGTTTATCATTGTCAAATGCAACGAAAGTCATTTTTATGTTTGTATTGTGGCTCGAATGGTTCGAGTTTAGATCATTATTTTGCTTAGCTATTTTCGGAGTGACGATTTTGATTCCACCGGTTCGACTGAACACTGGTTTCTTTTTCCAGTCGCTTGCCCTGGAGACGGGTGATGTTTTGTTGACGTTCAGATTAAAATCGTCTACGATATTGAAGCCGTAGCTGTAAATATTCATCAAAATGTATCAACATTTCGTACATTATACAATAACATCTTTATTAAAGTAATTGAGCTGATTTGGACTGGAATAAAATATTTTATATTTGGAACACATTGCATTTTTTTGCTCCAATTTTCTGCGTCAATGCCGTGGGCCGGTGACCGTTATACAATTAAAAATCAGTTTGCATTGTTTACTATAGCTGTTTACAGTGTTCTAATTGTTACGATTTACTTATTTTTTTGCTTCCAGTGTTTGATGTAAAATTGAAGCGATGACTGAATTAACGAACTATGGCTGGCGAAGATGTATCAGAAAGTGTACACATTTGTTGGAAGTGAAAAAAATATTCAATGTAATGACAAAAATTGTAAAATGCTGTGGAATTTCTTTTGTAAATAAAAATATACTATCAATTGTCTATTAATGGTTTATTCAAGTCGGCAAAATACTAGTATAATGTACAGAAAGATTGCCCCTTAGAGTATCGCTACACTGAAAATTAAGCAACCGACAGCCTGTATAAAAGGGGGGCTGTGATTAGCTGTTACTTATGTGAGATTTGAACGGGACTTACATAAGTGTCGGATCGGATGTATGTAGGGCGAAATAAAAAAAAATCACAGAATCAAAATCAAAGTAAAATAAAAAGGCATTAATAACAAAAGTAATAAAACATAGAATTAAAATAAGTTTATAGCCAAAATAACTAAAGCCCATACACTACATCAGATTTTAATCAGATTGGGAATTGTATATGCATGGAGTGATAGCATACTTGGCTATTCATTAACGCACTCTGGACGCTTAAATCAGAGGTGCATAGAAGTTCACGGACAATTGATGTGCATACACAAATAGGTAAATATCCAACTGACATGAACAGATAATAGAGGATTTGCTAAATTGAATGTTGACCAAGTTGCACAATCTTATACGTATGATTTTCTGATAAAAGCTACTGATCAACAAATGAGAATGAGGTGTTTCAATAACATACAGTGCACTGCATTATAATAAGTAATAGTCGTCTTTAATAAACATTCAGTTATATAGACGTAAGTAAGATATAAAGTTACATTGTAAATCAAAATATCTGATTTACAGTTAAAATTCAAGCCATGTCCGTATATTAGAGCTGGGATAACCGAGTCAACAAATCTTGTCTAGTACAGAACACACCTATGAATGCTGATGACCTGCAAGTTATTTTCAAACTTTCACTACCATATTTAGACCTTATGTACTATTGTTATTACGTTTTAACCCTTTCAAACCCTTATAGCCAAAAAATTTTTATGTGTTTTTCTTTATTTACTTGTTAAATCACATAATTCTGAATTGTTTGTAGGGGTTGATCAAGATGATCGAATAAATATAACAACTACCGTTATATATGTGAAACTTTTGTTTTCAAAAGGTTCAATAACCAAAGTTTTATTTCACATGAAGTCATTCCACTAATGCCTAGGTATAATGCTAGTAATATCTAGCTAATTTATACACTAGTATAGAACATAGTGTTATCACTGGTAATCTCCAGATGATTAACACACGTCACATTAACATTTTCAATGAAATTTATGGTCAATTCTCTTGCGTTATTATTTAACAGGAAAATGTGATGAGACATGAGTGGCACTGTGCTAACTTTGTATAAATATAACATAGATATTTGTTTACATTCCTTTGGAATGTTAGGGTCTCAAATAAACATGATTTTGTTTAGTATAAATTTGGATGATATCCAGTTGTCCCACAATAGCACAATTCATTATATTATATGTATAAAATCTTTATTAGCGTCTTACAATGCAAGAGGAATACTAGCATTGTAAAAAGTTAACTTAACAAATGCTCAACATACTTCATGTCATTGTATCTGAACCTTAAAATTTCACACAATGTAAAAAGTTTAATTTGTTCCATTTTGATTGTTCAAGGAATAATGATAAATATGCTTTCACATGTAGCCTTGTAGTAAAAACTAGCGTATATTAGTTCACTGCCACAGTTGAAATAGAGAAAAGTTTAGCCAATCGGATTGCTTCTGTGGGGAAAATATATATTAAGTCTTAGGTTTAGGGATGTGGAAATGCCTGCTTGAGATTTTTCTCAGTTGAATTTTGGATTGAAAACTTGTTGTAATGACTGTCTTCGAATACTAATTAAAATTACTGATTAAAATGACAATACCAGTGCCTATCAACCTGAGGTTTGATCACTTTTTTTTCTGTCTCCATCACTGACATTTGCTCATCTGCATCACACTCACAACAGTCACATAAAGTATTGCACTCATCTACTGACGATAATCTTGGTTGGTATAGCTTCAATATAATGAGTTTTGACAGAAATAATAAAAATTACATGTTAATGTTGAAACTGTTAATGTTGACTGCAGATTGTTGTTTTTCATTGCAAACTGCTCACAAGGAGCTTAGCACATTTAAAATTTTAATATTTTTTATTGATAAATTTGCTATCACGTCGAATCAGATATGACCTCCAACACACACACACCTAAGAATAGACTTACTGCGCAAGTTCATGAACACAATGATTTAATTTCAGTATTGAAGTAGAAACTAATGTAAAAGAAACTCATTTTCACTGATATTTAAATTGCTATTTTGATATTTGATCATATTCATAGCTTTTCCAGTAAACATTCTATTGTTCTAATGAATAATTAATGTTTTCACAGTAAATTACTAGCAGTTATTTACTAAAGTGCATTAAATTCATTAAAATTAAAACCTAACTATATAATGTAACATATTGGTTTTGAAAACTATTGTGAATATATTAGAAAATATGATAAAGGTATTTGAAAAGACATATTACAGATGCAAAGTGGACGAATTCTGTCCAGTTTGTGAGTACCATGAAGCTTGTCATTCAGGGATTGCCAGATTATTGCAAGACTGTATCATGATGGAATGAAGTACTCATACATATGTCAGTTTGGATACTGTTAAAATGTACATTATTCGATGGTGTCTTAATTACTTCAGATTATCCGAATTACAGCAGTCTATTCAACATTTACTCTAAACCTATTTAATTTCCTGAGAGACTGAAAAAGCAAATTGTTGTTGCAGCAAAAAATGTGACTGTGGCCCATTAGGCAGGATTTCGCATACAGTGATACTTTGAAATCATTGTGACGTTTTTGTGACTATGTATAAAATCCTGACTGATGGCATTGGATATGATGTCACACTTGACCCACAATCCTTTGCTGGAGCACTAAGATGGTGGACTGAATAATACTTACGAAAAGTTCAAATTTCAAATTGGGATCTACCAATTACAAGTGCTGGGCAGCAAACTGATAAGATTTACCCACACTATCATACAATTTTAATTATATGGGAATAAGATTAAAATGGAAATCAATTTTAGTTGAAGACCACCAAAAAAAAGAAAACTAATTATTCTGTAAATTCATCATAGAAAACTATAGGTTTCTGGTCATCACATGCAGCAGTTGAAAATGTTTTGGCAGAATTTCAAAATTTTCATGAAAAAATAAAATGTAGATCTATACATTTATATTCTTTATGAAAATTACCCCCAAAATCAGTTTTATCATTATCACTGGTATTTTGTGACAATAAAACAATCATGTTATGTTGACTTACATGCATAATTATTTGTAGTTCTTTCCTTGATCCTTTTTCTGTTACTGGCATATCAATTGTATTAAATTTGGCAATATAATCATTAACAATTGCTACTTCTTTCTTTTTTTCCAATTTCAACTCGTTGCCTCCAATGGACAGAGATCTGGAATAAAACAAATACATGGACATTACAATACTTCCTTATGTAAGAAAATGAACATCCAAACATCTTCTTTCGCCTTTCACAAAGTTTACTCCATATTTCAATGGCACCATAAAGACAGCAAAGCCACACTAATTTCTCAATGTTACTTCCCCACAAATTTTCTTTGAGTGAAAATTAAAAAATCTACAGTATACTTTTTTTTTTAATTCATGTATTATTAAGCAAAATTGACCTTTGTAATAAATAACACACATGGATTGGATGTACATCATACACATATAAAAATTACTTTCATTTGAGCCCAAATAATTAAGATTTTTTTCCATTTTTTTATTTTAAGATAAGATGACTTAATGTTCGATATCACAAGCTATGTATTTTGAATAGAGGCAAACATAGACAGGTGGAAAATGACCCAAATTGGTGAAAATGAAATTGTCAGATTGGTTTTAAGATACAAATACAAACTGATGCTGTCCATAGGTATACATCTTGACATATTTATGTGAAGCACATGAGCTCCCAATTGACGAAATACAGCATGAATTTTTATGGCATGCCTATTGGTTCACATGAAGCATACTAAATTTGTTGGCGTTTTTCGAATCATATCATATTACACTCTAACAAATAATTCTGACTCATTCTTATGAGAAGTACTCCAGAATTGACAGATATGAACAAGTTGGTGTCAAAATTAACATTGATTTATTAGATACTGCATTAATTTGGCTAATAATTTGTCCTTGTTTTTAAAAATCAAATTATGGTGTTTTGCATACTGAATATCCATGACTAGACTTACATTGCCTTTATGAGGTCTATAAAGTATCTTAATATGCGGGTCAGGGTCCTGATATCCACTCAAAGGAACTGAGATTTAACAGTTTATCAGATATTGCAGTCTAATGAGACCTGTACATATACTGTCATGAAATAGAATACTGTAAAATACTTTATTTTAGCTGGAATTAATTTTTGTTGAAATGATTTTTTGGGTGTTTTGTATTGAATTTATTTTCACTGAATTTTTACGAGTAATGCAAAATATAGGAAAAAAGGTTTATTCACTAGATTTTATTTTCAATGAGTCATTCCTTCAGTGAAATTAGCAAATTAATTACAAGCAAAAATAAAGTATTTTACAGTAGTCAGACAAATTTTGACTTTCTTACAAGCATATATCGGTAGCTATTGGTAATTTACTAAAGTAAAAGCGCAAACGTTTCTTTACCAAACTTGTGGTTGGATAAGTGATGAGCAAACATAATGTTTCCCACCAAATCAATTGTCGTAAATGGTTATCTTGAAAAAGATTAAGGGTTGACCATTTGAAATCAAAGGGGAATTATTTAACCTTCTGTTTACACTATTTTTCATAATCGGTGTATATGTTTTTCTATACATTTTAAAGTATGTTTCAAAATAAATATAAATATTAAATAGTAGCTACCCTGACTCCACGTATTTCAAAATGCTGGTAAATATTTTTGCAACAAGGATTTGATATTTGATCCAATAAGTGAAATAATCCTGCTAGCCAAATTTTGCTCATTATTTACCCACGGTTACTAACGTTTAGTATTAAACCGTGATTTACCCAAACCCTTTTCACTGTCATGTCTGAACAAAGCGAAAAGTCTGGGTGGAACAAAAACCTAAATGTACAATTTTTTTCTTTGTTTTGTGCTAGATATTTTTGCAAGATGATGGTGCTGTACATTTTAACTTTCTCCCATTAAATGCATGTTTTCCCCTTTAGGAATACCCCCCCCCCATTTTGTAATATATATATGTACTCTATATAGGTTCCCTAATTTATTTTCACTGATTTGTCATAAGCAAACTATAGCAGGGAAAAGGGGAATATTATTTTTGTTGATTTACATATTTAATAACAATAAATTCCTAGTGAAAATAAACAATTCAGTATTCTAAGGTCTAAACTGGTGTAAAAATTTGTGCGAGGGTGAGAAATTAAATGTTCTAGTCTTCAGGTTCTTGTAAAATGTTTATACAGTAGTAGAATTATCAATTCACATTCCATAGTGCCCTTCCTTAATGGTTATTTAAATCTGAACATGGTATTTGGGTCATGATGATTGTTTCCATGTTTATAAATAACATTACTGCGCAAGCAATCTGTACTTGAGATTGGTACAAGTAATGTAATCAGATTCCTCAATGGTACATGTAGTTCTGTGACGCACAAAATCCGTCAAAGAATCCATCTTAACTGTACTGATGTATTTCTCTCAGTGCTAAATTGACCAAATAAAATGATTATATTGATATCTATCAACACGTATTTTTAGTTTGCTGTTTTATTTCATAGTAAATTACAAATTGCATCATAGGCTGATTACCTTTGATATCGGTTATTTGGTGATAACCTTCTGACAAGAAGAAAGACATACATTAGACAGACTAATGTCAATATTTTTGATTTGTGTATAGACCCTCTAACAGAGTCTATGATTTGTGCAAGTGTTGTAATGTGAAAATTCATGAGAACTGAATTGTGAGATGATCAAAAGACCCACATTTCTAGAAATTTTTACACAATTAGTGAGTCTGCACATGGTTACTAGCCAATATGGTCTCTGAAAGAACGGATTTATGTTCATCTCAGATCCTTGTTGATGGTGTCCTTAGTTTTGGTGGCATTAGTTTTTGGTGACTTTTTAACAGGGACTTAACCTAGGCAATTGTACAAATATGGTTATTATAAACTGATAATAAATCAATCACAAATGTTTAGTTTCAATCCTTTTATTTCTTACTTACTGTCCATTCTAAGATATTTCTATTATACCTGTAGTGTCAGTTTTGATGTTGCTATGACAACAGACAGACATACAGACACTCACGACAGACTGAAATGTATATTTCAGTAGTACTGAATGAGATGCGATCAGTTTAATATGTAATACACTTGGGTAGCTTTAGTCTCAAGGCAAAATAAATTAATCATCAACTATGATGTTATTATTAACTTTACCCATGATGCTCCAGTGTAAATATAACTTTTAATAAGTTAATAAACAATCCTTGCCCTGAGGTCATCACCACACCACATGCGAATGGACCACCATTATTGAATTTATTGGAGTTTCACCTGTTCTTCTCAGCATGATCATGACGGTAATTTAACTATAAATTATTATATAAGCACGTCAAGTTATCTCATCCATCACTTCACAGCTTTTATTTTTCTATTCACACATTAAAATAGATTCAATCATATAACTGCTTCAAGGTCCATCAAATTAAACAACATATAAATTCAGACTTATCAATTTTAATTTGTGGAGATATTTTATGCTATAACATCTAATTGTGTCTCCTAATTTGTTATCATTACCAAGCTTGACATGATCACATAATGTGTAAGTCTGACTGAAAGCTTTGAGTTCTACAACAAAGTAACGCCTAACATAATATACAGTTCTTTTGTAAGAAACAAATTTGAAATCACAAGAAAATATTGTAGCAGTGAACATTTTTCTATGGTCTTTAAACAGGAAGTCACAGTGACTTTCACCAAATTAGATTCTCCTCTATGTTAAACTAATTACAAATAAGCAAAGGCGTTTAATAGGCAAAAGTGTTGGTGAGCAATACATTCTGTTTTGAAAGATTGGTGGAACTATATAGATGTAATGTAGGTGTAGGTGATTACACGACATGGGTTCCACAGGTGATTAGCTATGGGTTCCACAGGTGATTACACGACATGGGTTCCACAGGTGATTAGTTATGGGTTCCACAGGTGATTAGTTATGGGTTCCACAGGTGATTACACGACATGGGTTCCACAGGTGATTACACGACATGGGTTCCACAGGTGATTAGCTATGGGTTCCACAGGTGATTAGTTATGGGTAAAATGATAATTAATGGAATACTATGGGTATTAAATATCCACACAAACTAGATACTGTGCCATTATATCTATATTTAATTTATTTACTGATTTGACACACGCTTGATAAATTGAGAAAGTCATAATTTATTAATAGCGGCGTACATGACAGTGTAAAAAGTATTTAATAGCACGCACTGATGAATTGAACGTGTTTCCACGTATTGTGTGCTCGTTGGTGTTCCGGTATAAATGAGAAATTCTGCTAAAGAACTATAAAACAGATTGGGTATGACACAGCGTATTTAATTTTCGAACACACTGCGTACCAGACTTCTCGTACACGAACAGCTGACAATTGAGTGCCAAATAAACAAATCCTCAATATTTAAGTGTAAAATGGTATATAATTTTTATGTGCTGGTTTTGAAAATTTTTATGAATACAGAAATAAACCAAATTTGTCATGTACATACTAAAACATTTGCTTGATCGAGTCTATTTTTAGAGGTATTGCATTCTGACGTCAGTAGTACAAATATTGTTCAAAATCAGAGTCACACAGGGAGTTTGTTGTTAACAATGCATCAGTGACTGAAGTATTGTGAGGGTATATCATTTTATATTTTGCTGGTGGGATTATTTCGCCCGTCATAGAACTAACTTAAAATATGCACAGAATGGCAGCTATGCATCTAGTAACAGCGATGCATCATGAGTGACCGCACGGCAATGATTATTAAAGTTTCTGGATTTCACAACAAACTTTCGACATTGAGCCCAGATTAGTGAATTATGTTTGTGTGTATCTTGTTTTATAAACAAAAACGAGTTTGGTACACATAAACAATGGTACGAGCATTGGATGAAAAAGTGTAAGTCACATGATCTATATGGTGAACACCTATTGGTCAGCTTCAGATCTGTCATACCCCATTTATTATGTAGAGCGGAGTGAAAGCATCCTGCATTCAAACGTTTTCAAAAAGCGTGTGGCCATGTCTTGTACACGCTAGATATGCATTTTCTAGAAACTCTGAGTCTGAGCAAGACACAAAACCAATACATGTACAAGTTTGAGTCAAAACATGTCACCACAGCAATGCTTGTAGTACTGTTCTTTTTAACATTT